TGATTAAATGATGTGGCCGAGGCTGAAGGGTCAAAGAGTTGGTTCTAGAATGTGAAATTCTTGACATTTAACTTTGTTGCTGTTAGCCAGTTACCATTGAGTGAAACAAAAGTGTTTGTTCCATAAATAGCAAAAAATTTAATAGTAAGTTGCTATGTCAAGAATAGGACTCCATGTGGGACTGTCGAAAGCTGGATGTTCTAGCTCTGCTTTTTATCATTTTGTAAGTTACCTAAACTTTTCACAGCTCAATTTTCTTAACTCTTGAAACCAGACAAATATTAACACCTAATTCATAGAGCTTTGTGAAATAGTTAATATTAAGCACCTAGCATAGTACCTGGGTTATAGTAAACACTCAGTAAGCTTTAGCTGATATTATTATCATTATTTTTATTATTTCATAAAATAAAGGTCATGGTTTTGATTTACTGGACTGCAAAGACAAATCCAGATGAAGTTCTCATATTTTCAAATGTCATTATTAAGAATAACATTATTGTTTTTGCATCATCATTTTGCCTGAATTTCTACTATTTTATGCATTACTAGAAACGTATATAGCACAATATTATAAATCTTACAGGGAGACCAATGTTTTATTTCTATTTTTTAAGTGATGAATTGGTAAGAACATCAAAAATAACTACAATGTGTGTGGTAGCCTTACTAAAATATGTTTATCAAAGTTATGAAATCTTATCTGAGGGCAATGTGATAGTGGTACAAAATAAAGTAAACATAGAAGTCACATATTTTGAGTTGCCAGATATTTAGCCTATACTCAATTATTTAGAAAGTGATAAAAATCTGAGGTACCAAACTCTTATTTTACTCATCCTTTACTTCTTCTGACTACATTTAGCTATATTTCAACTCATTTATATACCCATCTTTGGGAGAGTGGGAAGGAAGAATAAAGTACAAATCTGTTAATACCGTTATTCCTTAAAAAATCAAAAAGAAGTTTAAACTATAATGATGAATGTATGGTGGGTCTCTGGCTCCACCTTATGCAGCAGCTATAAGGCTCCCTGTCTCTGTTGGCCAGGATAATTTGGAATTAGCTGATATGTTTTCAAAGAGGTAGGGCATTTCATCTTTAAAACTACTCATCACAAATGACTGAATGGTCCTGTAACAATTGCACTCATGTCATCCTCTATAAGAAAATGCACTGAAACTTTTACATTAAACTTTATACTATTATTAAAACTAAAATATATTTAGCCACATTAATTTATTACCTATCCATTGCGGTTGCATTTAATGTACAGTTCATTATACCAAACAAACACAAATCGAGGTAACTTGAAAGAAAAATAAGTCTGCATTAACAGAAAATAAATGTATGCAGAAATTTCAAAACTGTATTGAACATTTAATTGGAATGTTGGGCAAAATGTATTTAAGTAAATATATCAAGAGAGAAAATAAGGTAGCAATAGAACCTAAAACCTATTGATAGATTGATTATACAAACAGACAATGACCAGATCATATTTAAAAATAGAGATCTAACCCACAACTGACAGCAACCTTCCCAGGAAACCAGATGTGCCACACATGGCCCAGAAAGCCAGTTGGCTATGTCAGATTTACTATCTCTAGGAGCAGTTCAGGAAGCTAAACGATAACTTGTGTAACAGTTGGTTCAAAATTATCAAGATTAAATTTTTAAAAAATATTTTTATATTGATTTCAGAAAATAGAGAGGGAGAGGTAGAGAGAGACAGAAACATCAATGACAGAGAAACATTGATCGTCTGCCTCCTGCACAACCCCGACTGCGGATGGAGCCCACAACCCAGGCCTATGCCCTGACCAGAATCAAACTGTGACCTCCTGGTTCATGGGTCAACACTCAACCACTGAGTCAGAGTGGCTAGGCACCAAAGCTTGTGTAATAACTAACAGCTTCCTTCATTTTTGTCCCCACTTTCAAATTAGGAACAATCAGAAAAAGCAAAATATGTACCCCTAATGAATCACATAAGATGCCCCACTTCTACTCCGCCCACATACAGCTTCCTCAGGACAACAACTTCCAAACAGAACATACTCAAAGCCTTCCTTTTTCTCCCACTAAAGTTTTCTCTCTCCTCTGTCTGCCTTTGAGTCTCTGCCAAAACATTAGCCATGGTGGCTGATGCCTTTGCTATAGCACTCTCTGAATAAATAGACTTTGCTTTTCTTATTTACTAATAGTTAGTTGGTCTTCAACCAAGTATCTTTGGGTGATTCTAAAAAGATGGTAAGAATTGTTTACTTGCTGGACACGCCAGATACTCTGCAATTTTTCAAAGTCATATGCCTAATAATCATCTTAGATAAATATTAATGTGTTTATTTTATAAATGAAGAAAAAAAAGTCGTAAAGTTATTCAGAACATTGCCTAAAGTTGCTTGGCTAGTGAGCAGTCACTATCCAAGAAAACAGAATTATCTTACCTAATAATAGACAACCATGTAAATTAACCATCCCTCCACTACGCTCACCAGCCATTCAGGAGAGTATGCAAATTAAGCCAACAAAGATGGTGGTTAATTTGCATATGTAGTGGCGAAGCAGAGGAGCTAAGATTGAAGGCTCCGTCGGAGCGAAGGCCTGGGTCCTGGGTGCCGGAGGAAAACCGGTGCCGGCAGCCATTCGTGCAATGGGCCTCTAGTCTTATGATAATTATCTTTTAAAGTCCAAAGAATATTCTTAAGAAACATCAGATTAAAATTCACTTTAAGATGTTCCTTTACCACCTAAGTTATCCACAATTCCTAAAACTGAAGTAACCTATTTTTTAAGTATAACATAACATAACTTAGCTTTATAGAAAAGAAGGGGGTAGGGGAATTTTCACATGTTAAAAATTACCATAAAAGTTACATAAAGCCAGGTTGGGAAAAAATAGAATAACATAGATGACTAATGAAGCTTTTTAATGCCTGAAAATGAAAGCGATATTTAAGCATAATTCCTTTAACAATGACCAGGAAAAGTAAAAAGAATAGTACAGATAATATTGTTTAAGTAATGATGTAGAATAAGAAATGATGGCTGAGGACCAAGTAATTCCTTCTGTGGGTTCTACTTTTTTCTCATTAATTCTATTTAGTTACCTCAAATCATTATTAAACATTCCTTGCATTGAGTATAAATTAAAATGAAGTGAAATTTGGAATTTGAGAATTCTTATGAGAAGAGAAAGATTCAAACTTTTGGACTTTGTAGCATTTCATATTAAGAAAGGAAAACAATTTCCTTAAAATTTCCCTGTTTTAATAAAAAGCTATAAAGTTGTCACATAGAATTATAAATACCGAAGACATAATTTGGCCATTTTGCTAAATGTGCAGAGGAAAAGAAAGGTGCCCCTTTCACACACCTAACCACTGCTCCTTCCCATTAGAGATTGATTGTCAATATCTGTTAGTTGATTTAATTTTTAAATCTTTTAGTTATATCCCCTCCCCACTGGAATGCAAGACATATTTTTCATAGAAAAGAAAAATTATTTGAGATCTCCACCACTGACTCTTTCTATATCAGACCTTCTAGGCTGGGCAAAAGGTGTTGGGCAGGTTGGGGATGCATTTTATAAGAAAATCACCTGGGAATTCCCCAAATAGCATGTTGAAGTTGTTGTCAATAAAAACGGCCGTATCATGAAAATAACACGTTCTATTAACTCTGAAGCAATAGCGTGTGTAGTAGAGACAGACGGCATGCATTAGAAACCAGCTCTTCCATTGGCTAACTGTGTGATACTAGTCAAATCACATCACTTTGTGACAAGTTTCCTCATTTTAAGATGGAAACAATAATAATAGGATCTCAAGGGACTGATGGAAGGATTAGAAGACACTATATGTGTGTTGACATATAAGAAATACTAGGTATTACTTTATTATTGCTGTCAACTTTATTTTAGAGAATGAGCAGCAAGGTGAACGTTTTATTATGTCCAGGGTCAAGACAATTAGAATGCTCCTTGTTTCGCAAGTTATAATGTTCTTAGATGGAGGAGGAGACTTGGAGAAAAGAATGGCTCTTTAGAAAAAAAACTGAGCATCATATTTATGCCTTATCAATGAAAATAAAAGATTACAAACATTATTTTACTGCTTCTCCTTGTTATACAATGGCCAATTCTTGGTAGCAACACTTAATGCTGTACTCTGTCTCTATAGTTGTGTGTCTCTTTCATTTACTGGGCACTGTTGAAGGCAGGAGGTATGTCGAAATTCTTTCAATCTCCAGTGTCTAATAATGCTTCACATGCAGAGATACTCAATACATGCTGAATGAATTATGAATAACATTTTAAAATAAACATATAACTGAATACATGGATTGACAGTTTTCAGAAAAAGAATCGTATTCATAGAGAATGAGCTTAATATGATAAGTGAAATGCAAATTCTTTTCAGACATTTCTTTCAAAACAAATCTACATCTTCAAAATGATTAAGCAGTCCTCCTAATATTATTAATTTCATTCAAAGGATTGCACAATTTTCTCTTTCTGCTTCAACTTGACAAAATATTTAATGTTTCTGAGTGAAAGAGAGTTGTATTGGTATTACCTCTTGACTAATAAGTTATATCATCTTATTAAGAAAGAAAAGTAGAAAACCCATCTTGATAAAAAAATTCATTTATTTATACATGTGCAGTTTTAATCATTTGAATTGGTTTTAGAATTTTAAAAATAATATTTGTTTTAATTTACTTAAGATAAAGAAAATGTTTCCCCTCCTGAAATCTTGAAGATATTTCAAAGTGCATATTGTATTCTATAGTTTTATTCCAAAATTAACTACATATGTCAAGTTTAGAATAGTTGTTTTTGGTATGGTATATGGTATGTTGTTAAGCTAGTAATCACACTGATTTGGGGTATAAAATTGTTTTGTAATTTTAGCCTTTAAATATATTTACATAATTTCATTTCTCAGTAATAATATGATACTAATATGATACTTGGTATATAATTACTTCTTACCCTATTTGAGTCAATTCTTGCTCTGGACGTATAGATGGGAGGTGGGATGTTGAAAGCCTGAGGGACCAGGTATTCCTCAGCATCCATCATATCTTCCAAATCCTCTTCATCCAAGAGATTCTGAAAGAACTTGCTGTCGTTTGGACTGGGAAGCTTCATACGATCATCACCCTAAAGGATTGCCCATCAGAAACACAAAAATTGATTCTTCCTTTTATCTTAAATACATGGCCTTTGCAGTAAATTTATGTAATATCAAAACCAATGTTTGAAAATTCATGTACTCATGTAAAAAATAGTTCTTTAGCATAACTTCCAGCCAAAAAGGAGCCTCTAAAATGCTCAGATATAACAAGGCATGGCACATTTAATACAAGAAGGATACACTAAATGCCATTAGAGATAAATAAGGCAAAATGCTGTGTTTTGAGGAAGGCAAAACACATTTCAGATCTGAGAGTAACGGTCGGCTTTACTGCCAACATGGTGTCTGGGATTTGACTTTAAGAATAAATAATAAAGGAAATTGATTTATCAATCTTTGTTTTTAGGGTGGTTTGTTTAATAGTGTAGAGTTATCAGGATGCATAGGCTCCATGATTTGTCCCACAGCACACAACATTGTTGAAGTGAGAGCATTCAAAATCACAGCCAACGTGGCGCGTAACATAAATAGGAGTGGGAGAGACACCCAAACCCTTGTTATACTCTTTCTTACCTCATCTATTTCATATTCAAAGTTATGTGATTTTTCTTTTGGTAAGTAGTCTGCTTATAAAAGTTAATTTGAGAGGGATAGTTGGAAATCATTATCTTGTAATACCTAGCTTTTATCTTCATGTCAGACTATAGATATGAAGATAATCACTACCTTGTTTTATTGAGTGTAAGCCAAGGTCTATTTGTTTATGGTTTAGGTAAAAATCAATCGCAGAAAAATATTTTATACTTTTTTAAATTACCCAATCCATTTTTTAAAATATATTTTTATTGAATTCAGAGAGGAAAGGAGAGGGAGAGAGAGATAGAAACATCAATGATGAGAGAGAATTATTGATTGGTTGCCTCCTGCAGGCCCCCTAGTGGGGACTGAGCCTACAACCCAGGCCCTTGACTGGAATATGTGCCCTTGACTGGAATCAAACCTGAGACCTTTCAGTCCACAGTCTAATGCTCTATCCACTGAACAAATCCAGCTAAGGCTCCCAATCCATTTTTTTCTAGTGTTAAACATGACATCTTCTTTTAGCCTGTTATTTAATTTATATCTATATCAATTCATTTTAATCTGAGTTATGCTTAGATACTAAATATATTCCCAAACAAATATAAAAAATAGTTTTCTATGAAATAAAATATCAATATATTGAAGCTTTACTTTATTGTCTTCAATCATGGACAAGATTAAGATAAAAATCTATCCTTTTTTTGATCTGAAAAGGGAAGATTATAACAATGAACATGACACATATAATGCTAACAAGAAGCAGAGTGCTGGAAAGCTAGTCTGAGGATAAAGGCTTTTTATGTAGATGGATAATCATAATTATCTCGCTGTTCAATAGCAGAGGCACTTGAATACTAAGGGAAGGTGCTTAGAAGTGTTCTGACATCAAGTAAAAGCTCTTTCCCATAAGTCATTTCACATGATATTCTGCTTAGTTAATCTATTTGTGAGGGTGATTTCCACAGTTCCAAAGCCCAGATATCACTCATATTTGTAGTGAGTTTGCCATTGGGAAATACTTAAAAATCTGTCATATGTACTAACCTGAATAACTAAATATCTTTGAGGGTCCCGCGCCATCCTCGAAAATTCAGCAGCCAGTTCCTTAAATTTTGGTCTACTGTCAGCATCAATCATCCAACCTAGAAATTCACATGCAATAAAAATCATAATCAGGAAGAAATGGGACATGGAATTTATGAAAATATAGCATAAATATGTTGCTTTTACAGTAATGTTTTGAAAAACAAAAAAGCTAATGAAAGAAACAATCCAAAAGGCGAGGGTTCTACTTCAAGCAGTTTGTTGACACAACTAAATGTAATATACTATAGGATAACAGAAGTTTGTATTTTCATGATCTCAATTAAAATCATTTTCTTCCTAAAAAATATAACCTAGTTTAACTGTACTAACTTACAGAGTTTCAGATAGTTTTTTCTTAGGTATAGAGAGAATTCTCTTTTAAAATTTTTCTTTGATGGTTATAGAAGAGGTGATTGGAATATAATTTATTATTTTGTATCAGGGGTGCCATGGAATAACAGCTTTGGTTATAATGTGGTGCATTAGCACAAAGGGTAAAAAACAACAACAAAAGGAATAGAAAGCAACTTTTTAATGTTACCTTTTTCCCTGGTTGGGGGAAATAAAAACAATAGCAAACTAGTGTACAGTGATTGGTAATGTTTGTTCAGCAATCACCATTAGCTTATTTTAGTATTAGCCTTTTCAGAATAAAAAAATCTCTCAGCAATTTTCAGGGTATGCATTATTATTTAGCTGGGAGTCTAGATAAAATGGGTCTCATCTGCCCAGGCTCTGTGTAGCTGATGACAAAAATAAAAGTATTAAGCTTTCCTTGATTTTCTTGCCAAATGACCCTTTTCATATGTATTAAAACTCCTAAAAGCAAGGTAAAACTCCCTATCGGGCAAAGTTTTCTTAATTTTTCATTATTTCATCAGGGTATTTAAATGAAGTATCTAAATAATCCTGTATGCTAGTTATGGGATCAAATTATATAATGTGTGCATGTTTTTAAACATTCTTCCATAAATGACTTCTGGTCAGTGCTTGATCCAATCTATATATATGAAAGGCTAAGTGTTTGTCTGACTGGTAGCTATGATGCACACTGACCACCAGGGGGCAGATGCTCAATGTAGGAGCTGCCAAGCTGCGGTGACTTGGCAGTGGTGCTTCTTGGGTGACGCAGCCTGGAACCAGAGAGGAGGGAGCCCAATTCCTCGTGGGGCCACGTGATTCCACCTTCGGTTGTGGGTTATGTTGTTGCTGGGATACTGTTGGCCCCGAATCTGGTTTACTGCACACTTGCATTTGTGTTCCATACCCTGTATGACAGCAGCTTTGCAGAGTGCCCTCTCACACTCCGGGACCCCTTGGGGGATGTCAGAAATCCGGTTTCAGCCCAATCCCCACAGGACAGGCCAAGTGACCCCCATCTGCCAGAGAGGTGCTGCTCACTCTACAGACACCCTTTGAGCCCAGCACCACCGCAGGTGTGGCCGGCCGGGGAGGGACTGCTGGAGGTTGGCTCCAGGCCGTGTCCGGCCATCTCACCCAGTCCTGCCCCACCGGCCGCCTTCTAATTAATTTCCTTTCAATGTGCACGAATCTGTGCATCGGGTCACTAGTAGAGCCATAAAGCTCCTTTCTCTTTTGTCTAGGAGTCCAATTTTTATTCTTATTCTGGAACGTCCTTGGGTGTCATTTTGTATATCATTAATTACACCTGAATTTTATTTCTCCTAACAAAGTTGAAATGCTCTGTATTCTACATGCATCCACTGGGAGGGTGGGGGGGCGGGAAGGGGAGTAATACTTTTGATGCCAGATGTTAATCAGAAGATAGTGTTTCTGGAACTATTGGAACAAAAAAAGGTTAACTTCACAGCGAGGTTTCAATTTCTTTCTAACTAAATATTGAGTAAATAGAACTATGCTTAGAGAAAAGGGCATGCTGACCTGCACTGGAAAGCACATTTTTTATTTCTTCCCTCACTGTCAGAATGTATCACACATGTCATGAATATAAATAGGGTAGACCTGGGTCCAAAGTCTCTTATTAATAAGATGCTTATTCACCTTCACCAGTTTGTTTCTTTGCTAATCCTGTGCAAATCAAAAGGGGAAAACCCCAAATTACACAAGAAAGATTGCTGAATGTTAATCTCGCTTAAATTAAGTCAGAAACTCCAGAGACTTTTCTAATTCTATTTAAATTAAGAGCCTTGGCTTCTAAAACACATGTCTAGGCATAGAAAGGAGAAAGAAAAGTAAGAGTTAGACGTAAACAAATGATCAAATTTAAGTAAGTAAACATGCGTAATCTTTTTAGTTCAATGTAGATTCATGTCTACCCACTTCCCCTCTGCCTGGATCATTTCCTGTGGCCAAAAAACCCATTTTCATTTCATTCATATTTAAGCTATCAATTTCAGGCTTTCTTTCTTTATATTTAGATCATTTATTTAGCCTGGTTTCTATAACAATAAAAGCATAATATGCTAATTAGACCAGATGTCCTTCCTTCCAGATAAAGCCGAAGCTGGTAGGGGGGGCCATGGCAGCAGTGGGCAGGGCCGGGGCCAAGGCCCTTGCACAAATTTCATGCATCGGGCCTCTAGTTTTCCTATAAAATTACTAATATTGGGACTAGTTACATCTCTTTATGTAAGACAATTTGATTGTCATGGAAATGATAAAAATCATATAATTTGACTTTATAGCACAGAAGCATGATACAGCTTATTTTTAACAATAATCACACAAAAAAACACAGGTTTTGAGCTTTTATATTTATCAATATACAAAAACATTATGCAGGTAGATTAATCTGTACTGCCACTTTACTAAGAATGATGATGGTGGTGATGAAATTATTTTGCTCTTACATTTGACCATGACCATGTAAACGTCAATAGTGCAGATAGGAGGTTGGGGCAAACGTTCTCCTTTCTCTAATAAATCAGGGATTTCTCGGGTTGGAATTCCATCGTAGGGTTTTCCTCCAAATGTCATCAGTTCCCATATGGTGACTCCTAAATTGGAGATCAAATTCTTATGTAAGCATATTAACAATATATTTTGAACAACTGAGCAATACACAAGTGGCAAAGGAATGCTCCCCAGAGGGCAATCAAAAATAGATTTTAAAAAAGCTCTTCTGATTCCTATACTCGTTTAGACACCAAATGGCAAAATCTTTGTAAGAAATTTAATTACTTTATTATTGTCTTGAAAGTTTCAATGGGTAACCAAGACAATTCAGGATGGATGTCAGAATAAAATGTCCGTTCCCCACTTATTACTTATAAGTAATGCTGATGTTTGCTGACCTGAGTTAAGTTTCACTAGACCACATTAGAGCAGGAAAAACCATTTATTTACTCTATGCACGTGTATTCAGCACCAAGTAAACATGATTGCAGGTAAAATCTGATATCGACTAAATTCAAGATTAACATATTTGCTATTAAATGCTCTAAAGGCTAAGCTGGTGTTCCTGAGTGATTGGCTTTTGTTAGGGTAAATAATTGTGGCTCCCTTTTTAACTAACACAAAGATAACAAGTGGAATAAAAATAGATTCATTTCTTCAGGACATATGAGAACCTGAGTGAGAAATAATCCATATGTAAGATATTATACATGTGAAGTGGGGATCACAAAATTGAAAGAAATTAATAATCATTTTTTTCTTAGATAATAACATCACATTCTTGAATCATCAGAACATTGATTTTCTTGGTAAAAGCAAACACCTAAAATATGAGCATGCAGATAGTCAGCCTTGATGATAATAATGATTTTGATTTGAGCGATAATACATACATTACAGATCTCTTCTTCATTATAATCTAGTAATTATATAACTAAAATATATAGTTTTCCTGAGGATAAAGACTCCACATTCAGAAATAGGTATCCGGGCACAATAGTTTTACCAAGAGAAGTGTCACTGATGCATAGTTTCAGTATCTTTTAATGTAAAACCTATTAATTAAGGCTATGTTTTCTTTTCCACTGCCATCTGTAATAAATTATTCAAACTGAAGTCTTTTTTAAGCTCATAACACTTCTATGAATGAAAAAAAAGGTGTTCTATGGAACCTCACAGGGTGATTTGATCATAAATTTCTAATTGGGCAGCTCATGGTGGGTAGTCATGTCCTAGGCATATAATTTTTTAGTATCATATAACATTTTAGTATCATTCATTTACCATAGCTCCAAACGTCACTCTGATGGGTGAATTTCCTATAGTGTATACACTCCAAAGCCATCCATTTAATCGGCATCTACAGAGAAATAAAAAAGTGAAAATTTTATAGTTATATAAAAATATTTTCTATATTGATTTCTTAAATGTGAGTCTTGCTTCAATTATATTTTTTGACTGTGTATTGCAAATGTAAATATGTTGTTTTCAATACAGGGAACAAATAAATTGACCTTTAAAAATTCTTAAAATGAGTTAACCCAAAGATATATTTATTTTTTAAAATCTTCATAAACAGAGAAAACGAAAATAACAAAATAAGCATCATTTTTTTATAATTTTTAATTTATCTAGTAATTAAACTTAGCTAATATTATTTTACAATTCTAAACACCAACACATGCACTTCTATAAAATGGGATCATATTATATCTCCTCCAAAATCAGATTCCTTGAATTCTCACTTATCCCTTCTCACCCTCAGACAAATGTCAACCCACCAGTAAAATAGACTCTCCACACTTGCCCCCTTTCCTCTCCTTTTATATAATTTGTTCACTAAAACACCTAATAAAATAAAAAATCCAAAGTTAGTCTTGCTCTGGTCCTCAACCACAAATGATCTCTCTCATATTGATTAGTTAGTGTTGAAAATGTGTACCATTTTCAGTACAGAAATTATTTAAAAGAATGTGAGGGAATCAGTACAAAACCCACCATCACTACAAGCAAAACAACGCAACTCACATACCTTGCTGCTGATGGGTCAGCAGAATGAGTTTCACTATGAAGAGTGGCATTATATAGCTGAAAATATAACTAGATTCTATGGAATAAAGATAAACACTGCTACTTGGCAGTTGAAAGCATAAAACTAAATAGGCCTTTGAAAGCATGAGGTTGGCTGCTCACCAAGGTGATACCAAGGTAACTTCATGACAGAATCATGGCATTCAGTGAAAGGGAACAGAAGACACATTGAAAATAATTTCCCTATGGGCAAGGAGTTAGCTGACTTTATGGATTGCGGACATTGTGGTGAAGAAGTAAGTTTAAATCACAGGTGGCTTGATAAAGACTTAATGGTTACTAGGCATTTAAAACTATAATGAATCTTGCTTTAGACGAATCTTACAGCTGTATGTTCTCAAGACAAGTGAAGTCATGTGATTTATAGACTTTTGCTCCTGTGCAGTCTTGCAGTGAATTTCAAAGCTGTGGTCTCAAACTGCTGTGATTAGGTAATAAACAGGCAAAATAGGCTAATAAAATCAAGGAAAAAGCCAGACAATACTACAAAACTGCAGTTGTATTTTTAAAAATAAATTTTGTATTTTTGTGCCTTGTGATAATATTTGAATACATATGATTATATAAGAACTGAATATAAAAATCAATGATAAGCACTTGGAAGCCTATCACTTCAAAATATTTACAAAATATATTTGGATGGTCCATGATGAATGGCAATTTTTTTGTTAGTATTAGCTTTGGGTCACCAGAAGTTAAGGCTGCATTTTTGTTTTTTCATTTGGCTTCTACTGATCTAAGTTCCCCCAAGTCCAGCTAGAAGGACCTCCACAAGAAAACCATACTGGTTTGTTAGCCAAGAATGGGAAAAGACAGGATGTAAGCCATGAACAGCTGGTGGGTTAGAGAGGCAGGGCACAGCTGTCAGGCAGTGCCTGGGGCTGGAGGGTCATAAAAGTTAGGAGAAACTGTAGCTATTCAGACCCCTGGGATATAGCAAGTTACATTTCAGTGGAAAGAGTTAGGTAATAAATAAATTGGTAACTTCTACACTATGATAAAAGTTAAAAACAAAAAAAGCCAGATAAGAGGAATCTGTTTAATCTGCTATAAGAGGATTAGAAGTTAAATAGGATGGTCAAACTTCCTATGGGTCTAGGTAAACAGCCAAGCTTCTCTCCAGCCTATGAGAGAGCAATTGTATTCTCTGTAAGAGTCAGTTCTATGCTTTTAGGATCAATGCAACAATTTCTATAGGCCTCGATTACAGTTTAATTTCTGGAGTCCCTCCCTAAGGACCCACCCACTTTCGCACACTGGGCCTGACATAAGGACTGCCTGGGTCCAGACATGCATTGTTTTGTTTGAGCTACTTTTGAGAAAGAGAAGTTGGCAATAAATTCTCTCTGTGTATTTTTACCCTGGCAGGAGAAAATGTAAATGGTAGAATTGGGATTATGTAATCTCTTAAATCTCAGGCTTATTGACTTCTTCCTATAAAATATAAGTAGATTAAAGGATACCATAATATGCTTACAAGCAACATTGCTCTCAGAAAGATACTCACCTTTCCTCCATCAGCATTATACTCCTTTTCATCTCCTTCCAAGAGTCTGGCTAGTCCAAAATCTGTGATTTTCACATGGTTTGGAGATTTCACTAAGACATTACGGGCCGCCAAATCGCGATGAACAAGCCGTCTTTCTTCCAGATACATCATTCCCTGAAAAACACCAAGTTCCCCAATGACAGTCAGTTAATGCCTCATCTTTTCTGTTGACTAAAAGGGAATTTTCAGCATTTAGCTTAAAATGCTTAATTTTTCTAAGTGAAGTAGATTCCTGGAATATTTTCAAAATTAGGGAAAACCTGGGATAAAAAAAGTCAACAACAAATAGCTTTTTGCCTTTTCTCCCTGGATTCCTATAAAGAAGAATAAATTACCTGCACACAAGCTAAACGTTAGATCATTTTTTCCCTAGAGACTTGATGTTCTTTTGAAAACACTCTCATTACTGAGGTGTGCAGGTGTCTTCGTAGATAAGCTAACATATATTTGGAATGATCCACATATTCCTAATTGTTTTCTTCTCAATAACTCCTGTGCCATGTCATCTTCCCAATACATGCCTTCTCCAAACAAATACAACTATTCATAACTTTGGAAGGTATTTCATATAAAGATCTGATGATGCCAAAAATCACTATCATAGGTTCTATCAAGTCTGCAGAATTACATTATTCTTATTAATTATGCAAAAAGTGAAGAATACCCTGCAGCCATTAAAAGCCTGTAATTTAAAAAAGGCTTCAATGACATTTTTAGTGGTTATAAGAACACATGAATGAATTACATAGTTTTAATGACCCTCAAAATAGCTTTTAATATGTTGTCTTCATGAAACATATAGGGTAATTAAAAATAAAATGTATTGCTGATTGCCAACAAGAGATATAGCTGGCTTACCCTACAATATAACATGTATATATATGTGTGTGTGTGTGTGTGTGTGTATATATATATATATATATATATATATATATATATATATGTATTCAGATATGTATATGTTATATCTATGTCACTTATGTATAGATAACATATATTAGTATTTACAAAGATTGTTAAAATTTCATAGAAACAATAATTATTAATGGTTACCTCAGCAGTAGGGGAACTACGAGTCATTATACACTAGCTTTAATGAAAAGGTTAATATAAAGCCAAAGAAATGAATTCAGAGGCCTAGAATGAATATATTTTGTTTAAGTAAATATATTTTTATTAAAGAGTTAGAGGGTATTCTTTATTGGAGGATTTCAGTGGTAAAAAAGAAAAGGTTGTCATTCCAAAGCAAATCAGAATTTTTGTAAATGGTTAAAGCATACTCTCATGCCAATTGCAAATCAATGCAGTTGGCAGTTAACATTACAACTTCAGGACTTTGAAGGATTAATGGTTTCTGATATCAAAACAAAAGCTGTGGAAAACAGACACATAAATCACACAGGTCAGAAAATTATGAACTGTATGCCCAGTGTAGTGTAAAGAGAAGATTGCTTCCAACAACATCATGAGCCAAACTCTATATAAGTGTCCATTAAACACAACCAGTGGAGACAGTGCCTGAGATGGTCCAGTCAGTCAGCAGTTGGTGACACCACAGGTATTAGTGTTTCCTGAAATCAACCCTTGACTGGGATTTATGGGGGTTTTGCCCTCTTTTTTAAACAGTGCTTTCTATTTGATTATGCCTAACCGGACATTCTTAGAGTAAAGTGAATCTGAAAGCATATAGTCCTTAGGTGCCTTGAAAGATAAAAAAACAAAGAACAAGAAAATAACATATTGCCTAAGAGATAATCATCATTCATTTTGTCATTCTAAGAAATGTCTACAATAACATGCATTATTCTCTTTCTTACCACACTCGTATCAGAATATGGAAAGTATGTAGGCAACTTAATATTCAGATCCACACACAATTACAGGATACACATACGATGTGCCTAGCACTGTGCTAGACACCAGCAAGACAAAGAGTCAAAGTCTTTGCATTAAAGGAGGACAGAGCTAAGTTAATAAAGTGGGCAGATGTGGAATACAAACTCCAGTGGATTGAGGTGATGCATGTAAGGCATTTAAGACAACTGTATCTTAAGGACTGTTTGTAGTACAGCCTAGCAAGCCTATATGAGAGAGAGACTTTAAAGAGATACTGAGTGATAAGTAAGATTTGAATAATAGCCACCAGTTGGACAAGATGAAGGCAAAGCTGCAGACAGAGAGAACAAGTACAGGGGCATCAATAACATGGCATACTAGGACAAAGGCATGTAGTTCTGTCTTTCTGAAGAATAATATATAAGGGGAAGGGAATGGTGAGTGGTAAAACAGAAAAAAAAAGGAGAAACTAGACCCAAGAAGGGTCCCTTTCATGTCATGGTAGAGAATTGGCCTTTCATTTTGTGCAGCATTCAATGTAGTGATGCAGAAGTTGTTTTAAAAAGGAGAGGGAGACAATTATCGGTGTCCTGAGGATAGATTGGACACAAATATAGCTGAAGTCAGGAGCCACTGCCACAGCCCAGAAGAAAGAGATGAGAGTGTAAAATGAAGGTTGCATACTGGCAGTCTATGAGCTATATCCATTTTTCATATATATTTTTTCAGTTCCCATACCAGGCAAATTTCAAACATCCTCTTTAGCTAATTATTAGATGTACCCCCTTGAGAGCATCTGGCCTTCTGTTTCAGGATCCCACTATTTTGCTAGTATCCTTTATGATATTCATCCAGCTTCTACATACATGAGTGGGCAAATCTTCAACTAAACTAAGCCAGAAAGAATATTACGAAATAGATTTCAAGGTAAATTTTTAAAATACAATAATTATCCTTGTTAACTGACCGAATAATAAAGGATAATAACTTGAGAATAATTTTTTTTTGTGTGTGTGTGTGTTCTATAATTGGGTAGATAATGATTCCTTTAAGTAAATATTATCCTAATGGAAATACCATGTGTATATTTCTTAAACATGTGCAGGAATAATGGTATATGCTATACCAATGGGGAACTAACATTCACCAAGACTCTAATGACATATTCTATGTTACAAGCAAAATTTCAAAAACTCTGAAATTCTTTGTAACTCCTTATACAAAGCCTCAGCAGGTGACATAGTATCCTGAACCTCAATAATATTTATCCAGAAAATGTATTTTCTTCAAAATAATGAAAAGTCAATTCAGGAAAGCAGATGACAATCTTTATCCAATTTTCAGCACCCACCCGACCATCATTAAAATAAATAAAAACAGAAGCATCTATGTTATTACCAAGCCATCAAAATACATTTGTATGGTTGCTTTGTAACTTGAAGCATCATTGTACAGATGCACACTTTCAAATCCTTAATTTTGAATGCCACCTTAGTTCTACTTTCACACCCTGAAGTAGAGTGTTGAATCGTCTATGGATTGTTAACAACAGTTTCTGCACATCACAGTCATTAAGATAGGATTTCTTTATTTGAAGTTCTCATTAGAGTCATATTCACTGCTAGATTCCTTCAAAATGAAATCACTCTTTAAATCAGAATGTGATGCAATTATGGAAGTAAGTAGTTATCAGAAACAGACAAAAATAAACTGATATCCCTTAAAGTTCAAAGATGGTTAAAGAACAATCACTCGTGGTGATAGAGGGATACAGTATTGATTGAAAAGATACCTTTTACTCTGCCCTGTTGAAACTCTCATGTCCTTACCATGCCAGCTCAGGTGGAATACATTTTGGGAACAGTGACACTGACAATCACAGCTAAAACTGACTGAGTACCTAGAACATGGCAAACATTAAACTGAGCACTTCTACATCCGTAGGTTAACTTAACCCTATGAGATGCATACTGATTTCATCCCAATTTAAATGTGAGAAAACTGATGCTAAGAGAGGTCAAGGCACTTGGATTTGATGCCTTGCTGTGGCCCCTAAATCTGCACGTTTAAGCCTACCCCTCTCTCCATAGGTCACAGTGTCATATGGGCATACAAAAATCTATGTACACAGCACAGTCATATAACTATAAAATATCCTAGTACTTTTGAGAAAAAATATTAGATATTTCTGTGAATTTCAGGGCATAATGCAGGTGATTGAGTTATTTGCATTTATATTTAAAATACAGCTAAATAATAGAACATTTTATAATATAGCAGGGATTTGAATTGTATAAATTGGAAACTCAGTTCTTGCTTTGGCCCCAGGGTATGCAGGATGTGTGGTGGGTTTGAGTGCAGATTCTGGAGTCAATTGTCTGAATCAAACTTGAGCTCTGCCATGTTCCAGCTGTGTGAATCTGGCAAGTTAATTAAAATCTCTGTCACTCACCTTCCTCCTCTTAGAAACAGTCATAATAGCACCTATCTCACAGGTTGTGGTAAAGATTAGATAGATTAATATATGTAAAGCACTTAAAAAGTAACTGTCACGTAGTAAGTACAGAACAAGCATGTTTCCATTATTGTTCCATATTTAGATATAAATAGTTCTAGTGTGCATAAGAATCACCAACCCTCATTAACTTGAATTGCCTATTTCAGAAAATCTATGAACCTAAACTAATATATGTCACAGTTGGTATTCAATACATGTTTGCAAATTATGATACGTATACCCATAACCTACTTGTTATTAATGTGTAGATAGAAATTTGAGAACCATTATTGTTCAAAGTATTATTTTAATACTAGTATAATACACCTGAAGATGCTATCATCTAAGGAGAAGAAAAAAATTAGGGAATCTATTAAAAGATTTGGTGCCCTCCATAAATACATCACAAATTCAGGAATTTAGTGAAGACAAAGTTCATGAACAAGATAGGTTGAAATTTTCATTACTGGAGAATATTGACCACGAGTAAGTAAAACAGTAGATCTGTTGTACCAAAGTCTCTGCCTTCTATCACTCAGTACTGAGGGGACTTTTTTGTAGACTTGTTTTAGGGGCATTTAAAAATATGTTTATATTGATTTTAGAGAGAGATGAAGGAAGAAGGGGAAAGAGAGAGAGAGGGAGAGAGAGAGAGTGAGCTGATAGAGAGAGAGAAACATGGCTTATCTCTTGCATGCCCTCTACTGGGGATTGGGCTGGCAAACCAGGCATGTGCCCTGTTCCAAAATCAAACCAATGACCTTTTGTGCATGGGATGATG